CTGTCGCCCAGACTGGAGTGCAGTGGCCGCTCCCGGCCACCACAGCCTCGCCTGCTAGGCTCCTGTGATCCTTCTGCCTCAGCCGTCCAAGTAGCCAGAATTACAGGCATGCGCTACCACGCCCGGCTGATTTTTTGATTTATTGTAGAGATGAGGTCTCAAAAGAAAGCAACTCAGTGAATTAAGGCCATAGCATGTTTGATCATTTATGCCGAACCTGCGATGTAGAGCATATCATTTTTGGACATGGAATAAGTCATATTCTTTGGTGTGTTTTGTTCTTTTGTTTGTGTGTTTGTTTGTCTGTTTGATTGCTTTCCTTTCTTTTTGGGCTTTATGTTTCTTTTTTTTTAATTTAAAATTGTGGGTTACAATTCAGGGCTAGGTATACAAACATTCACCTTGCAAGTACTCTTATCAATGAGGTGTGCCCCCCTTCCCCAGGCAGATATCTACTACTGTCAATCCCACCTCTCCACCCCCTCCACCCCCCTCCCTGCAGTTTCACACCACTTTCAATTCTTTTTTTGTAGTAATACGGTAGTTGTTCAAGGTCCACTTATGAGTGAGAATATGTGATACTCAGCTTTGTTTCTGTGAGAGATCACTCAGTATTTATAAACTCTAATTCCACCCAGGTTGCTGTGAAGTTCATGATTTTGTTCTTCTTTATGGCTGCATAGTATTCCATTGTGTATATGGACCACATATTTAAAATTCAGTCCTCTTTTGATGGGCAGCATGGTTGGTTCCATGTTCTTGCTATTGTGAACAAGGCTGCAATAAACATACGTGTGCAAGCATCTTTTTCATAGAGTGACCTGAGTTCTTCCGGGTATATTCCCAGTAGGGGGATTGCGGGGTCAAATGGAAGGTCAATTTTTAGAACTTTTAGGAATCGCCACATTGATTGCCACAGAGGCTGAACTAGCTTGTACTCCCACCAACAGTGTAGAAGTGTTCACTTTTTGCCACATCCTCTCCAGCATCTGTTATATTTTGAGTTATTGATGATGGCCATTATGACTGGAGTTAGGTGGTATTATTTTAAAGATGTGGGGGGTACACATCCTTGCATACTTAATAAAATAAAGTAAAATTTTAAATAAACTATTTGCTAAAAGAACCAACAGACTATTGATACAAAGTATACACTTAATTGCATTGAGGGTATACTTTGTATCAATAGTCTGTTGGCTTTTTTAGCAAATAGTTTGTTTACAATTTTATTTTATTTTATTTTTTGAGTCAAGGTCTCACTTTATTGCCTATGCTGAAGTTCAGTGGCATGATCATGGCTCATCACAGTCTCAGCCTCCTGGTCTCAGGTGATTCTTCTGCCTCAGTCTCCCGAGTAGCTGGGACTACAGGTGTGTACCACCACAACCAGCTAATTAAAAAAAATTTTTTTTTTTTGCAGAGATGAGACCTATCTATGTTGCTCAGACTGTTCTTAAACTCCTTCGCTTAAGAAATCCTCCTGCCTCAGCATCCCAAGGTGCTTCGATCACAGGCACGAGTCACCATGCCTGGTCACTAGAATTTTCACATCTATTGTAAAAAGAAAAATAGGCTTGTATTTGTTTTGCTATTTGGGTCATATTAATTTCAGAAAACTAGCTTGAGAAACTTACCTACGTTTTATATTACCTGAAATATTTTTAATAATACATTAATTAATTGTTTTGAAGGCTACACAAAATTCAGCTCCAAAAGCATCTTTCCATAGTGGTATATTTTCATAATTTAAAAATATTTCATCTTATAGTCTGTGCAGGTTCTCTACTCCTCTTCTGTGAATTTTAGTCTCCTATATTTTGCTAAAAGAGATCTATTTTTTCTATATTTGCAAATTTATTGCCTTAGAATAGTATAAATTTTTCTCTATATAATTATTTTAAAATTCCTAATTTTGGTTAATGTTTTCATTTGTACGTTCATGTTTCCACCCACTAACCATTCAATCCATTAACCATGTAAACAGTGTACTCACCTATCCATTCACTCACCATCCATCCAAGAACCCAATCCCCACTCACCTATTTCTCCATTGGCACACCTTTCAACTTATCTATTTGCCCATGCATATGTCTATCCACTTAGCCTTCTTACTCATCTCCTTTCTAGCTAATCAATTTCTCATTTTATATCCAGCCTTTAATTCATCTTCCTATTATTTACACCTCCACACACATTCTGTTCTGTCATACACTTTAACATACTTATTTATAATTTCTACACCTGTCTCCCTCTATCCACCTACAAATCTACTCATTCACCTTCCATTCCAACAGCCTCCATCAATAGACCCACTCAACTCGTCATTAACTTATCCATTCTTGTATTAAATCCAGTCTACCTCTTCACCCAGCCAATCATCCATCCACCCATAATCCATATATTCATGCACCCAATTATCCTTGCTTCCCTCACCCAACCCTCTTCTTAGTCATTCAACCATCCTCCCATTCATTACTAATCAGCCATCCATTCATACACATATATACCTACTTATCCACACACCCACCAATCTCCCCAGCTACCTTGCTCATTCAGCAGATATAATGAGTATTTATTCTGTGCCTATTTATGTCTTTAAACACTATACTCTAGACACAGTCTTGTTTAGTGCAGTTCAGAGCCTATTTGGGGAAGTAAACATGCAACTTAGTAATATAGTCAGAAGCACAGAGAAAAACACAGAAAGCCAGTGACAGGAAATAAGCCCATGTGACAGGTCTTGGCCTAATGAAAAAGCAGGAGTTGCCAGGTAGAGGCCAGTCTGCTTGGTTTTCCTTGGAGTCCCCAGTGCTGAGCACAGAGTTGGTCCTAGAATGGAAGTGGTACTGAAGCATAGGTAGGGCACTATGATCCTCGCGAGAGATGTAAAAAGGAGAGACAAGGGCCCAGGTGGGTCCTTAACCTCCCCCCGCCCCAAGAAATTATGTGGAAGAAAAGGTCAAAACCATGATTCATCCCAGGCCCCCAAAACAGATTTCATTTTACCTGATTAAAAAATGAGACACTTGGGTGGGCCTGAAAATTAGGCAAGACAGAATGTGACGAGACAATCAGAAGTTCTTAATTTATTTTCAAGAAAATTTAGAACCTTCAACTCCACAATAAAATATTATATCCACATCAATATCAGAAGATTCCCTAATGACCTCTAGCAGGAACTTACATAATCAGCTGCCTTATAACTTTGTCTCTGGCACTCACTTGCTGAGTGACATTTAGTCAGCATCCTTATTTCTCTGCCCTATGATTCTTATCTGTAAAATGAGAAAATGGGGCTTGATGGTCCATTCTTTCTATCTAGATATTCCAAGGTTTCCCTCTCTTGGACTGAGTTTGGGAGAATATGGAAAGTACAGTAAGAGGGACAGTACTGCTTAGGACACCTTGGTTGTATGTTAGAAATTCTACTTCCCAGTCTCTTTGTGAATCTTCCTTAAGTGAGATTGTGAAGTAGATGGGATGGGAGTCTCACAGGGGCTCTGTATGTAATCCTAAATTTTGTGATCATATAGTCACTCATGATGATGAGGTTAGCTTTGTCTGGCTTCTGTCTGTCATGTAGGAAAATTTAGAGAACAAAGTTAAGCCCAAAAAAGCAACACCTAATTAGGGAAGAAAATGAGAGCCCTACAGATAATATTTACTCTTTGAAGAGTGTCTCTCCCCCTCCCAGGACTGATTGAGTGACTGGTGTGGATTCTGTGATTGTAGAAAAGCTGTCCAATTCTCCAGCATCTCTTTTTCCATAGCTCCTCTACTAGCCCACTTAGAATCTAGAAATTCTGCTGTGTTATTGAACTTTATTCAGTTGTAATCTCTCAGGTCTGCTCATTTCATAGTTCCTCATCAGACAACAAGGGGTTTGCATCAGATGGTAGAAGCTCCCTATAAGCTCTGACATTCTCTCCGGCTCGCAAAGCAACACAACCTTGACAAACACTCTTTGAAGATGGTTATCAACTTGATTCCTCCGCATACCCTACTCTGTGGCAACATCTTTACTCTTTTACCTTAATCAAAGAATATGAGTAAACCAAAGATCAGATAAAAGGGAGAAGGATAGGAGGAAAGTGTGGGAGAGGGAGAAAGGGACATAGAGACCATGGGAGACCCACAGAAAAACCAAAAAATTTAGATGCAGGCACTGAGAGGCACAGTGAAACAATGAGATACCAAGAAATCAATAGAGAACCATTGTCAGAGACAAACAGAAGAGTGTGCTACTTAGTGTGTATGTAAAATGGAAAATTATCAAAGAATGAGGACATTCTGCACCTCTCCAAGTTATCAGTATGAAGACACAATATTTTGGCTTCCATTCTGAAAGTAACCTGGAAAGTACAAGAAACGCTTTGCCTATTCCCTGGGTTGACCAGAGGGCCAACCCAGTGCATCTCAGGGGAGTGAGGATCAGGATCCATCCAATAAGAGACCCTTCCCCAAGGACTGGGAGCTGTGGATGCCAGTAAGTCTCATTTGTGACCTTGGGAACTTGGCGTTCCCTGCAAGAAAGGCGGCGGCTGGCTTGTCTCCAATTCTTATATCCAAGGTTTCTGAAAGAATAGGCTGGGCCAAGCAGCCAAACATTTTCAAATTCTGGAATCACCAGACAGACCAGCCTCTCTTCAGAATGGAATCATCTAAACTTTTGAGCCTCCTGGTGCTATTCGCCCTTTTAGTGAATGTCCAGGCACCTGGTCTGAGTAACTGGCTCTTTCCCAGTAAGTATTGGGTATCAGCCCTTGCCCTGGAGAGAGGGAAGTTTGCTGGGAGGAGGGAACAAAGAGCAACGACTGAAATCTGAGTTGTTGTTCACCATCTTAGCCCTGGTCTCAGCTGGGAGAGGAGGGAGATATTTGGAAAATCCCTCCTATGGAATTTCCCTCCGTGAATGCAGGAACTCTGACTTTCAACCTCGTTGAAGTGGAGGGTCTTTCTTGGAGAAGTAGAGGAAAGTTACAGATTCTAGCATTCATGGGAGGGGCTATATGAACCTGGGAAGCCCAAGGGACCTTTCCTCATCCAAGAGAAAGATAGACCCCTTTCTTGAGACATCATCTCTATCCACACCTGATTCTTTCCAATGTAATTCTGTAAAATGTCCCTGAATCCCCAGGGATTCCTTGACTTCAGGATAAAAGACAGTGTCCAAAAGTCTCTTTAAACTTAAGATATGACTGTTCCATGACTATATAGTAATAATGGTAATAGTCACCATTTGCCAAACCCTCAGAAAGGGAATTCTGAGTAGAGATTTCCAAAAATATGACAGATCCAAAGTCAGACTTGGTGGGTTCAAATCTTGGTAGCCATGTCATCTTGGGCAAGTTATTTAAAATCTCTGTGCCTCAGTTTTCTCATCTGTAAAATGGGGATACCTATGACTTACTTCATAGAGTCATTATGAGGATTAAATGAGATATTTAAAATGCTTAGAAGAGTGTTTGGCTTAAGGTAAATACTTAGCAAATGTTAGTTAATATTACTGTGTATTTGTTACTATAACTAAAGCTTTACATACTATAACTAAAGCATTACATACTTTATCTTTTTCTTCCTCACAACTCTATAAGGCCAAAACAATTTTACAGATGAGGAAACCAAGAGAGGTAAGTGGCAGACCAAGAGTTAGAATTAAAAAACCAAACTGTCTGACTTCAGGGTGAATGGTATTAATTACTATATAATATTGCCTCCCAGAGGAACCTCTAAATACTGACCCCTCAACAAAGCCAAAAAGACTGGGTCACTTAAACCAGTGCCTCTAATGGGGCAATTTTGAGTTCTAGGGATTTGTGTGATATCTGGAGACAGTTTTGATTGGTACAGCTGCCGGGAAGGGTGTTATTGGTGTCGGATGGGTAGAGGTGAAGGATGCTGCCAAACATCCTGCAATGCATAGGACAACCCCCCACCACAAAGATATCCAGCCCAAATGTCACTGATGGTTCAGAAATTCTGCCTTGGAGAGCATGGGGCTATGGGCTGGGACTAAGGACTGGGATAAGAAGGTAGAGTGGGAGGGTTGGTCAAAAGGGAGGGAGGTGTAGGCAGCAGGGAAATACAGGAAGCCATCCTGAGGAGAGGACTCCTGGGGCTGAACAAAATGAAAGCAAACTTCCCTGACTTCCCAGAATTGCCTTGCGTCTGGTGAAAGGTGGACACTGGGTCCTCCAAGATTCACAGTTCTAAAACTGCTTCTTTCCTAGGGAAATGCCCCAGAGTCAGAGGGACATGTGAATTCAGAGAACGGGATCTGTGTACTGCAGACAGACAATGCCAGGGCAACAAGAAGTGCTGTGTCTTCAGCTGTGGAAAAAAATGTTTGGACATTAAACAAGGTAATATTCAAAGCCTCGGAATAACCAACCCCTCTATCTGTGTCCTCACCTGTTGCCCACATGGGCTGACATTGTCCCTGGTTCACTGAGGAATGATCTCTTGGTAAGATTCCTGGACTTGGAAGTATTGGGGTTTAGATTCATTACCTATCCTACTATTGTGTGTGACATTAGCAATGACCTTAGCTTACCAGGTAATGTCTGAGACTTAGTTTCCAAAAACAAATGAAAGAGAGAAACTAATTCAGATGGGTTTTGGCTACTTGTTATTCTTATGAATTTCTGAGTCCCCAGGTGGCCATTGTTTTCCTAACCTATACCAACACTGCTGGGTAAGTGATAAATTCAGCAATTTATATTTCCTAGCTATTTGCTCTGGAGTGATTCCCTCTCTTCCTACACAAATCCAACCTTGCTCCAGAAAATCTCCCCTGGTCACTCAAGATCAGAGGGTTTTTCCTTTACTACTGCAATCTTAACCTCAGGCCCATTTCCCTGGGCTCCAAAAACAGTTAAAGATTCTTTATTCATTTATTTGACAAGTATTTGTTGAGTAACTCTGAAACAAATAATGGGATTTGACCTGCTCAGTGTGGTCAGGGAGGTTGGGAAAGTGTTCTCCGAGAAAGCAAATCTGGAGTTGAGTTTAGAAAGACAGGTAATATTTTAGACAAAAAAGTGAGTGGAAGGGCTTTCGCAGCACATGAAATAGCATGCACAGGAGCTTAATGGTGGGGCCTAGGGAGGTCAGAAAGCAGAGTAAGTACCAGCATGGTGCAAGGAAAAAAGATCATAGTAGGTAGGGAATCAAACAATTCAGGTCCGGTGGGCCACATTAAAGGGTTTTGCCTTGTACACAACATCAACAAGGGTGCCCGATCTCAAACCAGGCAAAATGGGGACCAAAGAGAGACCAAAACTTTACCTGTACAATGACCACTTGTCTACCTAATCCTGAATTATACCTCACATCTTTAAAATAAAAAAAATAAAAATAAAGAATTTTGCCTAGAACCTAAAGATCATGGAAGTTCATTAAGGTGGGGTGGTGATATAAACAGTTTATACTAGGCCTAGAGTGGGAAATAGGAGGAATGGCGTATCTTAAAGAAATTCAAGAAAGAAAATGGTGGCCTGGACTAGAGAGGTATCTGAAGGGATGGAGAAGAGAAGGATGTATTTGAATGGTATTTAGGAAGTAAAGCAAACAGGACTTGACAGAGGGACAGAGTGGGTAGACTGGGGCTAAGTCATCTGTGTGCCTGCAGGTGAGGATTCTGAATTCAGACTTCCTGAGTTCAAATCTTAGCTCTAGCTTTTTTTTTCTTAGATTGGAAAATATGGTTTATTTAGAAAGTAAACTAGAGAGAGAGAGAGAGAGAAAGGAAATTCACCTCCCCAAGGTACGGGGGGGGGGGGGCAAGACTAGGAAACATGGCAACCATGGCTCAAAGAACCACAAAGCAATGGCTTTAGCTCCAGTTTTTACCAGCCTTTTTGTCTTTTGAAAATTAGCATCTTTTCCTCATTGTCCCTCAGTTTCCTGCAATAATAAAAGGATTTGTGTTAAAGGTTATCTTGAGGGTCAAATAAATTGATGCCCATGAAGTGCTTAGAGTAATGCTTGGCACATAATAGCCTCCTGATTCCTATTAAGTTAGTTGTCATTCTTGACTAGGAGCTCCTAAGTGGCAAAAACTATGCCTTGTCTTTGTCCCTTAAAGCATTGAGCACATAGTAGGTGCTCAATGAATGATTTATTCAGTTCAGGCAAGGATACATTTTATTTTACCCTCAGCATTTCATAAAGTCCTATACTGTGCCAGGCCACCTGTTAGGATTTGGGATTCCAAGACAAAATCAGACACAATTCTTGTTCACTAGAAACTCACAACCTCAGGAATGAGACTGAAGATGTAAACAAACAACAAATGTATGCACAAGATTCAGAAACATGGTGTTGTGGTGTGGGACTGTAGAGTGGAGTCAGGAGAGACATTACAGAGGAACTGATGTCTGAGAAAGATTTCGAAGGAGTAGTAAGACTAGTCAGTAGTGGGAAACTGTCGGGGGGCACACCTCATCAACAAGGGTATCTGCATAATGAACATTGTATACCTGACCCTGATATGTAAAAAAAATAACAACTGCCGCTAGTGAGCAGTAGTGGGTCTCTGGCAGTGCAAAGTCATGGCAGTGTGGGTTAGCACCATGAGTTTAATATTGCCAGAGCATGTAGCTCAGAGGGATACTGTGGGAGGGAAGGAGGCCAGAGCCGCAGTAGGAGCCAAGTGATGAAGGGCCTTGTGGGTCATGGGAGGACACTGTCATGAAGTCAAGGTAGATCTTATCTGTGGAATGACATGATCAGCTTGGCTTTCAGATCAGTCAGATCCTTCTCTTTGGTGGGCAGCATGAAATATTGATTGGAGGAGCCAAGACTGGAGGCAGTCAGATCAATCTGAGGTTACCTCAACAGCCCAGGTGTTAGACACTGAGGCTTAAATTAAAGAGACCGGTTAATAAGAGGTAAAAGTCAACAGAATATAATTGTTTAGCTCTGGGGACTCACCCACATGGAATTATGTAAGCATAGTTTAGTTGGGACCTATATTATTTTGCTGGGGTTACTGTAACAAAGTACCACAGACTGGGTGTCTTAAACAACAGAAATGCACTGTTTCACAGTTCTGTTGGCTAGAAATCCAAGACCGAGGTATTAGCACAGTTGGTTCCTTCTCAGGGTTGTGAGAAAGAAATATGTTTCGTGCCGCCTCTCCCCCCTGGCTTCTGGTGGTGTGTTGGCAATCTTTGGTGTTCCTTGGCTTGTAGACGCATCACCCGATCTCTGCCTTCACATTCACGTGGTGTTTTCCCTGTATGTGTGACTCTGTCCAAATTTACCTTTCTGTCTAAGGACACCAGTTGTATTGAATTAGGAGCCCATCCTACTTCAATATGACCCCATCTTAACTCAATTCTGGGATCTTTCTGCAGATGTATGCACCATGCCAAAAGAATCTGGCCCCTGCATGGCTCTTTTTCAACGTTGGTGGTATAATAAAGAAAATAATACCTGCTCCATCTTCTTCTATGGTGGCTGCCTTGGAAACAATAACAACTTCCAAACCAAAAGCCTCTGCATGAACACCTGCCAGAAAACAGGTGAAATTCAGGGCCCTAGTTGTCCTTCCTCTCGGGAGCAATGCTGAGAGGTCTGGGTGTTGGCTGGTTCGTTCAGGTTAGCTATGTCCTTGGCAGATCTAGTACTGACAGAGCCAGCTCCAAACAGGAGGTAAACAAAGTTGCTTTCTTGGAACTGGGGGTGGGAAGGAAGGTAGCTATGAAACAAAGTTGGCAAGTATAAGGGGAGTTGGAGGGGTGGAGAAAGGGTGCAGAAGTGTCAAAATCTCAGAGATCAGTTGCAGAAGGGTTACAGGATGTCCACCCGAGACACATTGACCAACCAAACTTTCTAGACCGTTAATTTCCTCAACACAGCTCTTTGCCAGCAATTTATTCCCCGAAGGAGATGAACAGCTCCCCAAAGCAAATCCACTTCCTTTTAATGTCCTCCTGTGAAAGATGTATAAAGTAACTTCTGAACTCCAAAGACAAGCTGAGTCCCAGATGCTTATCTGTTTCTGTCCTACATTCTCAACAGGATCCTCTCCCTGAATGGATAAGGCTGTGTACCTGATGGATGCTACAGATTGACTTCCATAGTTCCACTCTCAACATTCCAAGGCTTTAGCTCTTCCCAAAGTGGAATCCCAAGATCTGCCTATACTTCCTGCATTTTCATCTCTTTCCATGCACAATATCCTTCCATTCTGATTTTATCTTTATGCCTCACTCTTTTATCTCCAACTCTGAGAGAACTCTGTTTATACTTTTGTATCTCTCAATTTTCCCCAATAAAGTATTTAGTGTAGTCCTGTGCTTCTGAGGCTGAGTAATTGACATCTGTTTGGCACATTGCACACTGCAGAGTAAGAGATCATTGAGGCTTCTGGTGGCATCATTCAAGATAGTGAGGATAATCAGAACCTTGAGAGTTGAGAGCTCCAGGGATATTATTATCTTCCTCTGTTTTTTTCAAAATATAATAAGGCCTTTTAAAGACAAGAACCCTTGGATGTTGCCTTAGTTTGAATCTTCCAGAAACTGACCCTAGGACAAGGGCACGGGTACAGGCAGTTTATTTGAGAGATCTCTCAAGAAGTACAAGATGGGAAGTGGGGTAAGTGATTTGGAGAAGAGAGAAGAGTCGACTATGAGTTGGCTGCCTATGTGGGAAACTGTGGTTCAATCCCTCTGGGACCTTCTTAAAAAAAACCATGTGAAACAGTCCTCCAAATTCTCTTCACCTGTCTCCATTGATGGGAAAGCTGAGGTATTTATCCACTGATCCCCATTCCCTACTGGATGCCTGGGATATTAAATCCCTTACTCTTCTAGACAGTTCCACATGCAAGATGAACAAGCTTCCAGAGAGCCAGGAAAAAAAACCACAGTAGAGAAGTAGGGATTCTGACTCTTGAGGTGACAAGCTGTCAGTATGCACTTAATATTATTCAGCCTTAAAGTCAATGAACCCCTCACCTGCCATTAATGACTTATCTCACCACACTCGTGCCCTGCTGCCACCTGGCAGAAATGCCTCAATTACCCACAGTCCTTTGCCAGATGAAACTAATGTCCAGGGCACTGGCTACTCATTTCACTTAGGCTTATGCCAAAGATGTAAAATTTTGTGCAGATGCCCAAGCCTTAATGCTTCAAGATGTAGACCTTTTAGCTGATGTTGTAGCTGTTAGAATGAGACCAAAGGGTAAAACAGCAATTACTGAACAGAGTTGGGGAAGTCCCAGAGTAACAAAAGATGGTGTGACTATTGCAGTCAACTGACTTAAAGGGTAAATACAAAAAATATTGGAGCTAAGCTTAGGATGTTGCCAATAACACAAATAAAGAGGCTGGGAATGGCACCACCACTGCCACTGTACTGGCACCCTCTATTCCCAAGGAAGACTTTAAGATTGGCAAAGGTGCTACTCCAGGGGAAATCAGGAGAGGTATGATGTTAGCTGTTGATGCTGTAATTGGTGGACTTAACAAGCAGTCTAAACCTGTGACAACTCCTAAAGAAATTGCTGCTATGATTTCTGAAAGCAAAGAAATTGGCAACATCATTTCAGATGCCATGAGAAAGGTTGGAAGAAAGGGTGTCATCAAAGCAAAGGATGGAAAGAAGCTGAAGGGTGAATTAGAGATTACTGAGGACATGAAGTTAGATTGAGGCTATATTTCTTCTTGTTTTATTAGTACGTCAAAAGGTCAGAGATTTGAATTCCAAGATGCCTGTGTTCTATTGAGTGAAAAGAGAAGTAGAGACTCTGACACTTGAGGTGGGAGGCTGTCAATGTGCTCTGGATATTATTCAGTCATAAAAGTGAATTTCAGGATGCCTATGTTCTACTAAGTGAAAAATTTCTATTCTGCAGTCCAGTTTCTGCTGTTGAAATGCTTATCATAATCCCTTGGTTATAATTGCTGAAGGTATTGATGGAGCTCTAAGCACATTCATTTTTTAATAGGCTAAAAGTTGGTCTTAAAAGCTCCAGGAATTGTGATGGCAATATAAAGAACCAGTTTGTTTGTTTATTTATTGATTGATTGTTCTGGGGTACAAGTGAGGATTTGCTATATAAGTAGGCTGCATGCAGGTGAAGTTTGGGCTTCTAGCTGGCCCTCTTTCCCCTTAGTGGGGAACCAAGTATCCATTCTGTTGTCACATGCTCCCTGTGCTAGTGTGACTAGTGTTCAAGACCCATTTACGAGTGAGAATATGTGGTATTCAGTTCCTGCAATCGTTTCCTTAGTATGATGATCTCCAACTGCATCCAAGTTTCTGCAAAGGCCATGATTTTGTTCTTCTTCATGGTTGCATAATATACCAACATGTATATGTACCATATTGTCTTCATACAGTTCAACCTTTGATGGGTATCTGGGTTGAAGAACCAATTTAAGACATAGCTGCTGGTGGTGGTGGTGGTGTCATGGTTGAAGAAAGGTTGACCCTAAATCTTGAAGATGCTCAGCCTTAAGACTTAGGAAAAATTGGAGAAATCACTGTGACTAGAGATGATGCCATGCTCTTGAGAGGAAAAAGTGATAAGACTGAAATTTAAAAATGTCTTCAAAAAGCCAAATTCATGCTATAAAACATTCACCCAGTTATGAACACATCTCATATAACATATAGTATGCATGTGTTTAATACCATTCTTTCTACTATAAACACATTTCATAAAACATGCCTTCTTTGACACATTATTCAACATGCACACTGTAGTCAACACATCTCATACAACATGCACAGAGTGAAAACACAGCAACTGCACTCAGTGATGAATATGTGTAATACATGTTCTCAGTGACACACACTTGTTAAACAACTCACCCCATTATGAACACATCTCATAAAATGTGTACTCAGTGAAAAATACATCTTACACACCATGCACTAAGTGACAGACACCTCTCATACAACATGCATCCATTTATGAATACATCTCATAAAACATGTACTCAGTGAAAGACACATGTTATACAAGTTGCTCCCAGTAAGAAACCCATCTAATATAACATGCAAAATAAAATCATCAAGCAGTTAGATGTCACAACTAGTGAATATGCAAAGGAAAAGCTGAGTAAATGCCTGGCAAAACCTTCAAGTGGAATAGCTGTACTGGAGGTTGGTGGGACAAGTGATGTTGAAGTGAATGAAAAGAAAGACAGAGTAACAGATGCCCTTAATGCTATGAAAGCTGCTATTGAAGAAGGCATTGTTCTGGGAAGGGGTTGTGCTCTGATTCAATGCATTCCAGTCTTGGACTGATTAATTCCTGCTAATGAACATTCAAAAATTGGTATAAAAATTATTAAAAGAATACTCAAAATTCCTGCAATGACCATTGTCAAGAATGCAGGTGTTGAAGGATCTTTGATGGTTGAGAAAATTATGCAAAATTCCTCAGAAGTTGGTTATGATGCTATACTTGGAGATTTTGTAAATATGGTGGGAAAAGGGATCTTGATTCAACAAAGCTTGTAAGAGCTACTTTTTGGATGCTGCTTGAGTGGCCTCTGTTAACTATAGCAGAAGTTGTAGTCACAGGAATCCCTAAAGAAGAGAAGAACCCTGGAATTGATGCAATGGATGGAATGGGAAGTGGCATTTTCTAATTCCTAGAGTAGAGCTTTATCATTAGTGACAAACTGTGACAGGAAGTTCAAGGCAGTGTTCCTCACCAATAATTTTCTGGGTTTTTAAAACATAACTTTCTTTTATTAGAAAGATGTGGGGTACAAGTCAGGATTCAATACATAAGTAATCTACATGCAGGTGAAGTTTGGGCTTCCAACTGGTCCTCGTTTTCCCTGGTTTAGGATTAGGTACCCTTCAAGTTATGTGCCACCATCACCACCACCACCACCCCCCCCCCCCCCCCCGGCAATGTCCTGTAATTGCCAATCCCTCTCTTGTGCTTTTGTGATTAATATTCAGGTACCACTTATGGTATTCGGTTCTTTATTTCTGTGATAGATCACTAAGTATGATTGTCTCCAACTCCATCCAATTTGCTGCAAAGTGCATGATTTTGTCCTTCTTTATGGCTGTGTAATATTCCATCATGTATATGTACCACATTTTCTTTATCCAGTTTCAATGGGCAGTAGGGTTGGTTCCACGTTTTTGCCATTGTGAATAGTGTGGCAATAAACATGCGTGTGCAGGTCTCTTTTTTGTGGAACGATTTATGTTCCTCTAGGTATATTCCTGAAGGGGGATCGCTGGATCGCATGGAAGGTCAGTGTCTAGTTCCTTTAGAAATCGACACACTATTTTTCATATAGATTCCTCACCAATAACTTTCAAGAAGTCATTTGAATAAAATTACTGAAGAAAAAGCTGGTTGGTGTTTAAGAAAATCACTATATCCATCAGTTACTGGTTTCAGTTGACAATTCATAATGGTTTACTGCTGTTATTATCAAATACCAACAGATAATTTATTTTGTATTTTTGAATAAAAGACATTTGCACATTCCTGATATTGAGTGCAAGAGCCATATAC